AAAAAGACTTCTTTAAACTTGCTAACAATTCAATTTATGGTAAGTTTATCGAGAGTTTGAGAAATCGTACTAATGTTAACATTGTAAAAGATGAAAGATCTGCAAAGCGTCTCACTTCTAAGCCGCAGTTTATTGGATTTCACATGCTGGATGAGCAAACTACTGTTGTACAGTCTGTGAAGCGGAACTTAGTACTAAACAAACCCATTGCTTGCGGATTTATCGTTTTGGAAAATGCCAAACATATCATGGGAGAGTTCTGGTATGACGTCCTAAAGCCGAAATATGGTGAAAGAATAAAACTCATCCTAAGTGACACGGACAGCTTCATTTATGGTGTGTTTGCAGAGAATGGGTACGAAGATCTATACAGTATACGTGAACTTATGGATCTATCAGGTTACGTTGAGAATACCCCACTGTCGAGATTCAATGACCCCACCAACAAAAAAGTGCCTGGGAAGTTTTCAGACGAGAAACCGACTGAAATAATTAGTGAGGTTATTGCTCTGAAGCCTAAAATGTACTCTGTCATGACAAAGAAGCTTGTAACCAGGTGCAGTGAACAACATGAATGCACTTCATCTTGTTTCATCGGACATTCTGTCACAGCCAAAGGGATAGCTAAAGCTGCTCAAAGACGGATCCGACATGAAGATTACAGAAACGTATTAGATACTCAGTCAACAACGATGACAAAGTCACAAACAATTCGCGTTTTTGGAAACAAGATTTTTAGCGTTGTAGTACAAAAACGAGGACTTTCTGGTTTTGACGATAAAAAATTCATTTTAGACGATGGTATTAGTACTTTGAGTTATGGACACAAAAATTTGTAACTGTAAGTATTAAATGAATGTTGTTTTTATTAAGAATGTTAATGAGAATAGGATCAATTTTTACCTACTAAACTTTATTTAGAGTAATTGACACTTATTTGCGATAGTTATTGGAAAATTGTGAGTAAACGAAATTTTGATTAACTATATTGCATGCTAGACTTGAATAATGCTTATTTTGTGGTGATATATTGTATCGATTTTACTTTGTTCAATATTCTTTTTAATTTATTCTAAAATCATATTTGGGTTTTAGTCGTAACTGTCCCGAAAAAAAAGATAAAAAATGCTATAGCTAAAAAGTTGCGAGAAAAATATGACAAAAAAACAGAAATATTAGTAAACTACAGAAAATAAACACAAAAAATCATAGGTATGTGTAGCGGTTGCACTTTAAATTGTTTACTCAAGTAAATAATAAAACAAGCTAAATAATAAGGCATGCCATAAAAGTAACAGTATATATACACACACACACACACACACACAGGCGCACACACAAACACACACACACACACACACACACACACACACACACACACACACTCTCTCTCTCCCCCCCCCCCCTCTTGTCGAAACTGGTACCTCACTTTTAGGTGGTACAGCGGTACCATATTACATACTACTGACGTCAATGAGCATGATTCGGCAACAAATACTGACGGTTGTTTTAAATACACATTGTTAAGCTTATGTGAAGAAGAACGCACCCCCCCCCCCCCCCTACCTTCTTAGATCCATCATTAGGTTCACAAATACTAAGTTACCTATTATTCGTCTGAAACACAACCCATTTATATTTCCTTCGCTGTGCAACATAAATTACCTCATTTTACAAGACGTTAGACATTATAAATTCTCGGCTTTTTTCACACAAATAAGTTCTCAGCTCGCATAATATGCACATTATATGTACAGTGTATCACTGGTAGCATACTGGTAGCATACTGGTAGTGTAACTGTATATTATCTCTAGGCGTGCCTCCTGAACTCGGAGCAAGAGGCCGGGGGAGACGTTTGTGACAGTGGAGTGGCCGAGCTTACAGGTACTACATGTCAACATGTACCACGTGCTGTGTCACGTGTTATGTCACGTGTTATGTCACGTGTTATTCACGTGTTATTCACGTGTTATGACACGTGTTGTGTCACGTGTTATTACGTAATGTGAAGTAGTTCTGTGCTTTTATTCTACATAATATTGTTCATATTATGCGATTGTATAGTTTTTTACACATTTTTTGTTGACGATAATTTGTTGGTGCTGTGATTATTAATTGTGATTCGAGCATTTTGAAATTACCAAAACGGTAGTCACATCATTTCATCTTTCGAACTAGAATAAATATTTTTAAATCAGCAAATCTGAACCATCAGCAGAGTGCGAAAAAGGTTGTTATCAAAATGATTTTCAAGATTTTTGTGGGTTTGATCCTAAAATAATCCGTCCATCAAAGGGAACGGTCTGTTATCAGCTGTAACCATGGTAAAGTTAGTAACCATGGTAACGTTACTACAGGAAACTAAATCCATTTCTCGCTCAGTGGATAATGTTCCGTACGAAATAACACTGTACGATACAAGTGGTAGAGAATCAGATATACCCTTAATCTCCTCCCTTACCTTTCCCAGAACAAGTAAGTGGAATGTCACAACACCATCATCCTTGATTCCACCGGCATCCTCCCACAGGACTGCCATACCCCAGAGGTAGGCATCCATATGCTATCCTCTCGTGGGCCAACCAGGCCCAGCCTCTCTTGAAAAAAGAAGAAGAAAAAATGGAATGTTCGAGAAGTTTCTCAAATATTTTGTTTTTTTTTGGGTATGGTAATTACATTTTAGAAGTCTCAAACCTCACAATGTTAAAGAGTTCATTGAATTTGTGAATTTTAAAAACAGGTAACCCCGGCCCTATGACCTATACTATACTATCTGGACACAATTTGATCAGTCAATAAACCCTTTTAACAATAAATTGATTTCCCCCATTTTCTACGTTAAAACTCGCAATTACCCTGGAACTTCCACTACATAACTCACATCCCAGACATTACATATTGTTAATTGAGTAATACCCACTGAAATTCTATACTTCGAGGGACTCTCTGTGCAGTTGAAAAATGACACCGAATGCATGAAATGGTGGAGGATAGGATTACAGTCCAACCATATGTTGGATTTAATATCACAACCTCGTGATTTCAAGAAATTGCACGCGACGTTGAGAGTGTATACATTTTAAAGATAACCACTAGTTACTAAACCCTAACCACTAATTTCAGATGTTTTTGTACTGTGTTACAGCGTTATAGGCCCTCGATCGCTGGATAACATCGAGAACGTTTGGTTAAAACAGGTAACTTTTAACGATTAAATTAATAATTAATTCATCAATTAATTTACAGATTAATGATCGCGAGATTGTTCACTAAAACGCTCTTGGATCAGTCTTATCACATTTAACATAATAACGACTGTTAAAATATCACTAAAACCATGTGTTAATAACACGTGTTCTCCACAGATAGCTAAACATAGGAAGAAAGCAGTGACTGTCCTCCTAGGGCTCAGAACAGACCAGCGAATAGACAAGACCCAGAACATAGTGACCTACTACCAAGCCAAGGACTTTGCTGAGAAACACAACCTCTCCGGCTTCACAGAGTGCTGTGCATTCGACTCAATCAGGTCTCTGCTTCTCTCAGCTTCTCTCAGCTGCTTTTGTTTTGTTTCTACTAATTATCAATGTTAACTTTGAGATGTTGTTTTGTCGCGATGAGAGTGCAGTAGTTAAGAATACTCTTACACTCTGGAGAATGAGATGATTTAGAAATTACATAGTTGCCAGTTAACACTGTCAGATTATTACATTTTGTCATACTTTATCACATTGTGACACAAATTGTGACACAAATTGTGACACACATTGTGACACACATTGTGACACACATTGTGACACACATTGTGACATTGCAATTTTTCAGAACGGAGATATTGAAGCAGTTCATTGTAAAGTGCCACACCGGAAAGGAGAAGAAAGAATGTTGTATACAATGAGAATATACAATGTATATACAATGTACAATGAGAATAACGACTACGATAATCTCTGTTCGCATTGATTAACCTCCACACTTCCAACCTTGGTAAAGCATTTCTAAGAGAATATAAAAACAGAAACTGCAACTTGTGGAACTATGATGAGTTTTTGATGAGCTATTCAGCGTTACCATGGTTACTAACGTTACCATGGTTACTAACGTTACCGTGCAACCTAATCACTACTCCCTATCTCAAGATGGACAGTAAATTGTTGTTTCATTCTTGTTTAGCTACGTTGGTGACTTCTTGTGATCGTGTATGATGTTTCCGTAAATTATAATACTAATTATAATACTAATAGACCGTGCTGTCTGTTTGATTTATCTTTGGTTGCGTTTTAAGTAACCCAGCGTTACCATGGTTACTAACGTTACCATGGTTAAGTAACCCAGACCATATTTTATTGTAACTCATTTGGAATTGTTAATCATTTGAAATTGTTACTCATTTGGCTGTTACGAATTGGATTGTAGCCCATTTGGTTGCCTTCATTAGGTTTCTATTCATTTGATTGTTACTCATTTGAAATTGTTACTCATTTGGCTGTTACGAATTGGATTGTAACCCATTTGGTAGCCTTCATTAGGTTTCTACTCATTTGATTGTTACTCATTTGATTGTTACTCATTTGATTGTTACTCATTTGATTGTTACTCATTTGATTGTTACTCATTTTCCGATATTTAAGTTCGGTATAGTAATCGGTTTGGTCTTTGTTAATCTTTTACATTGATTTATTCTTTAAAAACTATGTTAATTTCTTATATCAGCGTGTACCTTACTAACGTTACCATGGTTATTAACGTTACCATCAGGGTGTACCTTACTGATTGGCTCACACTGAAAGCTTAAAAACAATTTGTGGCATCTGAACAATTTGACACTAGGATCAAACTCACTAGCATAGCACTGCTAACCTCAATAGTCAATATAACGTTTAACATAATATAGTAATATTGCTAACCTCAATCTCTTGTTTAACATAATTATATAGTAATATTGCTAACCTCAATCTCTTGTTATAGTCAATATAACGTTTAACATAATATTGCTAACCTCAATCTCTTGTTTGCCGATCATTCCAAGGAAGTTCATGGTAGCCAAATTTAGACATTCCTTCCCGTTTATCGTTACGTATTTACCAACCTTACTGTAATATACATGTAATATAATATAACATGTAATATATAACATGTGATCAGTTATAAATAGTGCCAGCTTACTATGTTACGAGATATTGAGTCGTTTATTAATAATAATAATAAAGTGAAATTTAATAACACCGCTCTTAAGTCTTAAGATAAAACTTATACTCAGCAGTGTTTAAACTAGTCATCCCAGAAAATAACATGAATACTAAGTTAAGAAAAGTAACTTAAATGCTTGAAAAATGAAAATATATCGTCAATACTGAAGCCAAAAAATGGTATTTAAACATATTATGCAAAGATCAAACACCAGATATGATCAAAATAGTGATCGATAAAGTTTTTCAAGTTCATCTAGGGACAGTTTAAAAATGTACGTTTTTAGAAGAGCTTTAAAAGATTCCAGGGATTGACGATTGTATTAATGACTGTAAACCCGATTAAGAGTGGTCCGGTAATGATTAAATTGATTTTTATGTATATTTCAATTGGCTGACAATTTCAAGAAAACCGACAGTTTCTAACCGCGCCAATTACAAATCGGTGCGCAGTAACCATAGTAACGGTGCCCTATAATTCCCATCAAAACCGCAGTCCAAACCTCTCAATGATGGGAACAGGAACTTCCTTTTCAGCCGCTCCAACTGGTACTAATGGTTCTGGAGTCCACTCCGCAATCAGCTTCTGTAGTTATTTAGTTAGTTAATTAATTAGCTGCACTGTATGTTAATTAATTAGCTGCACTGTATGTTAATTAATTAGTTGAATAATCATCCTCTTTAGGTTGAATATTATGTCAGTTAAATACGATACAATTAATTATTCTCTGTATAGCAGGTAGATTATTTAGTTAGTGCAGTCTTTCAAGTACTGTTTAGGTTAAATATTAATTTAAAATATGTAGTGAAAATATATTCTAGTTGATTAATAATATCACGATACAATATGTCTCACAATGAAAGTTGGAGAATTAAAAAAAGAAGATGACATAACAAATTGCTGACCTCCATAGTTATAACACTACTAGTTACCATGGTTACACTACTAGTTACCATGGTTACATTTAAAAAAGAAGATAACAAATAGCTGACCTCCATTTCCTTCTCTGTGAGGGGTGTTTCGTCAGCAGGGGATCCCGTGCTCTTGCTCATCAGAATCTTGAGGATGAAGAGAACCAGTCCGATCTCAACTATCAAATGGTAGAATGGGATCTGGGGTGGTGGTATCATGTTCAATTTAAGTTTTACAGCATTATTCATTTTATGGTTAAGATCCACCGCAGTGTAAACAAAATATTGGCTATCTATTTACGGTGAATGAATTGATTTTACTGCTTCATATGATGATACTTCTTGTTGTATCACTTCGCAAATCTTATTCAAAAACAGTCCGTAATCATACTGGTGACCGGTCCCGGACCAGTCTCAATTTTTGGCAAAACACTAAATTTTCGTCCTAGTTACCATGGTTACATTACTAGTTACCATGGTTACATTACTAGTTACCAAAGCTTCCTACCTCATAGTATGAGTGGAACACGTCGCCCGCTTTGGCAGCCCAACTCTCCATCCTAGTGAGGTGTGATAGTTAAATATTTGTAAAATATGTTGAATATTTCCTCCAAATATGTGAATAGTTTGTCACTATTTGGTTAATGATTTAAAATTTTATGATGAAAATTTCTCGACGTAGTCAATATTATAGATAAATTTGAATGTATCATATTTTATACGTGGTAAAATAGTATTTTAGAGCTTTATAACACTATAACAAATACTTAGTTACAAAGTTAAGTAAAACTATTAAACAAAAAGCAAAAGATAAAAACAACTCAGTCTCTACATCTTAAAGTTAATTCTCAATCTGACACTACACAAAAACTTAATTCAAAACTTTCTGAAAATGATATTTAACAAACTTCGCTATTCAACTTTTTATAACATAATAGTAATATTACTGAAGAAAATCAAACTTAAAAATCTATAGTTTAATGTTTATGGAGATGTTCTGCTAACAGTAAATTTTGGACTGATAAATTCATAAGCTTGTAACATTGTGGATTTAAAAATACCGCTAGAGTTCCAACACAAAGTATTACAACCTTCTACAACACTAGAAAGAAAAAATAGCAAAAAACAAGCAACATCCCCAAAGTCTGACGGAATAAAACACATAAAAATATAAAAAGATTAACTGAAAATAATGCTCGAAAAGAAAACCAAATAGTTAGCATTTGGAACAGTCGACAACACGAGGGCTATAAACACGTGGTGTGGATACTGGGCTCTGATTGGTTGGTTTGTGTCACGTGGTGTGAATACAGTGCTCTGATTGGTGTCAAAAGAAAAACAAATGGTTAGCATTTGGAACAGTCGACAACACGAGGACTATTAACAGTTCTACTTGTCAGAGTGATACTCTCCTGCGGCGCCACTTGTTGTGAGATCAGGTGGTCTTTAGCTATCTTGTAGAATAGTTCTGTTACGTTGGTGTTGTTCTTACTGCTCGTTCTAAGGGAGGGTTTGTTATTGTTACTTTTGTTGGTGTTGTTCTTACTGCTCGTTCTAAGGGGGGGTTTGTTATTGTTACTTTTGTTGGTGTTGTTCTTACTGCTCGTTCTAAGGGAGGGTTTGTTATTGTTACTTTTGTTGGTGTTGTTCTTACTGCTCGTTCTAAGGGAGGGTTTGTTATTGTTACTTTTGTTGGTGTTGTTCTTACTGCTCGTTCTAAGGGAGGGTTTGTTATTGTTACTTTTGTTGGTGTTGTTCTTACTGCTCGTTCTAAGGGAGGGTTTGTTATTGTTACTTTTGTTGGTGTTGTTCTTACTGCTCGTTCTAAGGGAGGGTTTGTTATTGTTACTTTTGTTGGTGTTGTTCTTACTGCTCGTTCTAAGGGAGGGTTTGTTATTGTTACTTTTGTTGGTGTTGTTCTTACTGCTCGTTCTAAGGGAGGGTTTGTTATTGTTACTTTTGTTGGTGTTGTTCTTACTGCTCGTTCTAAAGGAGGGTTTGTTATTGTTACTTTTGTTGGTGTTGTTCTTACTGCTCGTTCTAAGGGAGGGTTTGTTATTGTTACTTTTGTTGGTGTTGTTCTTACTGCTCGTTCTAAGGGAGGGTTTGTTATTGTTACTTTTGTTGGTGTTGTTCTTACTGCTCGTTCTAAGGGAGGGTTTGTTATTGTTACTTTTGTTGGTGTTGTTCTTACTGCTCGTTCTAAGGGAGGGTTGTTATTGTTACTTTTGTTGGTGTTGTTCTTACTGCTCGTTCTAGGGGGGGTTTGTTATTGTTACTTTTGTTGGTGTTGTTCTTACTGCTCGTTCTAAGGGAGGGTTTGTTATTGTTACTTTTGTTGGTGTTGTTCTTACTGCTCGTTCTAAGGGAGGGTTTGTTATTGTTACTTTTAAACTACATATTATGGTATTTAAACAGTTAAATTTTCATGTGTTTATAAAGGCATAGTCACTTATGGACCTAACACATATTCAACTCCTGAAAGAGATATTTGTACATGATTTGTAGCTGACTAACCTGTATAACTAAACAAGTATCACACCTAACCTGACTAACCTGATATGTGAGCAGTCCTCTATGTAAGCATAATCAGACGCAACAGTATCTGTGATAACTTGATTTGGGAGGTCACCCTTTGTTCCTGAAGAATTAATAAATTCTGATTATCGTTATTTAAAATACTGGGGGGAAAAATCTAACCGGCAATCAATGATGGAAAAACCATGTACTGTGGGATGCATGCTAATTATGATGATGATCCTCAATATCAAAAATGTATTAATTAAGTTATGTAACCATAAAATGAACACAAAATTTATTTAGACTGTTACTAAGAGCAATACCCTCGTCTCCTATCATTACTTTTTAATAAAACACTCAACAGGGAAGTATAATATCATAAAATATATTCAAACCTGTGAGGTAGATAGTGCAATCTGGCTGATCCCTTTTCATGGTGACTATCTGATTGGAGTTAAAAACAGGCGTTAAAAATAGGTGTTTGGGGGGGGGGGGGGTACATCAGAGAGTAATATTCAAGCTGAAACTTTAGCAATAACAATGTTTCTAATTCTAAAATTGGTAAGTTTTATATCATGATATAATAGCAATAAGTAACAAGTTAGTCCTACCCATTGTTTGGCTTTTTCAAATGTAAGTCTGTCTGTGACGTCATAGCATATAATTGCAGCGTTTGAGTTTCTCGTGTACTGTTCTGATATAGACTCAAATTTCTCTGCACCAGCTGTATCCCAAATTCCCTTAAGATATATAAAGTTGAAGAAGATCGGTTAATATACAAAAGCAGGGTGAACCATATTGAAGTAGATCAGGGGAAGTAAAGACAGCTAGGGTCTGTTTAATCGTTCCAAAGTCATATCACTGATAGAAATTCAACTAAATTAACGGCGCAGTATAGTGTCTCTGCACTGAAATTGGAGGCCTGATTTCAGGCATAAGAAACTGGCAGGGTAATACTAAGTTTGGTAAGTTTTACTAAAACTTACCAACGTCACAGTTTTTCCTTCAACATTGAATCTTTTGGCACAAAATGCAGCTCCGATCGTGTTCTCGTACTCCCCTCGGAAGGCACCTGTAAATCACTTTGTTTGATCTTTCTTTTTCTTTTTTAAAGTTGGTATAGTAAAATTACCCCATCGATGCCCATGCCCAGTTGACCAAAATTGAGGAATAAATGAGCCAGAATAATCATTTACCAGGGCAATTCCACCGTGACGGACACCACGATTTTGCTGTTTTTTAAAGTTCAAACGAATGTTGTACTCGAGATGTTGTTTATTTATCAGCTCCAACTGTTTATTAGTCCACATTTAACCTTTCTACAGGTTGTGTGAAAATTTCAGACCCCTACCATTATTACTTTCTGAGATAGCACCCCTGTGACGGACGTGACGTAAATATGACACTTTTTTTGGGTACGTCTACTCAGATGGTACCCAAATTTATCTCAAAAAGTTATCTATTGTATCTAATTTGGAATTACAATGATAGAAGAAGGTTTAGGGATTTCTGAGATGCCATTTTCTTAGAGATTGCTCAATTTTTGTTTGCGTGGCGCCATTTTCAAATTGTGACAGACGTGACTGTGACGGACACACGTTTTTTTTCAATTTTTCCAAATCTTCCACTTGACACTTTTATCTTGTTCAGTGACATCTACTCTGTATTCATGCCAATTTTTAGGCCTCAAATACCCCCAAGAGGTTTGCAACAGCCAAAATCGTCCATTTTGGGCATACGCTAGGGTATCAGTCTAGGGGCATCAATTATTTCTCTACTTGAACAAATTTATAACTCTGGTAAAACATTCATCACTGTTCAACGCATCATACTGTTGAGACCATCTCCTAAAAGTTTCATTACTTTAGTGTTTAAAATGTGGAAGATATTGAATTTTTACTTCAAAAATATGCGAAAATAGGGTAAAGTCCATTTTTTGTGCCTTTTACCTCTGAAAAAGTTGTAAGCAAATAAAATGGCAAAAAATCAGTAAATTAAAAATTATTGAATTGCATATGATGTTATTTGATAGTCTAGTCAACATAGTCAACACAATCCAACCTTATTTAACTTCTATTTGTCTTGGTTTTAGTCAAAATAATGGAAATATGGATAAAAATGGCTAAAAGTGAGCCGTATGCCCATATATGGGCATATACAAAATTATACATAACTCGGTCATTTTCTGTCCAATTTTTGATTTGACGACATAGTTTTGTTGAGTACGACCTCAGCTTTAAGAAAAATGCCTTTAAAGTCTGTTTAAGGATTTTTTGGAGCATTTTCAAAAAAATGTGACGGACGCGACAAGTTGGGACCCCCCTTACAAAATTTGTTTCTTAAAAGATACAAGCCTGATAATTTCTACGGTACTCCCTTACCTTCAGAAGAGATAGGTTACAGTGGTTTTTTGAATATAAATAGCACTATGTGGCTCTGAAAAAACTTTTTTGCTTAATTTTGTGACGGACGTGACACCATCTTTGTGGAAATTTTTTAGAAAAAGTATTTGAGTAACGGTTTTGAAACTTTGCATAGCTCTCATTCTTATGCATATGCCTAAGTGTATGGAATTTCATAGAGAAATATTGCTGCATACCCAAACTATGGCCCTTTGAAAATTTGAACGATTTTTTTCATTTCCGAGTAGTGTTCCTTTGAATGAGAAAAATCAAAAGTTAACGCAATATGAAACAAAAAACTTTTGTTGACTTGTAAGGTTAAGAGTCTAATGAACATATTTTAACCAAAATTAGGTGCCTATCTTAACATTTTTCATTTTCACCAAGTGGAACCTTACCGTGGAATTGCCCACCATACAAATTTAATATGATAAATGGTGAGAAGTATTAATACCTTTGAAAATTCGATGAACAAGACAAGTTTTACCAATATTCTCCGAGCCAAGCAGTACTACTTTTGTATCAACTTTCATTTACCTTTCTGGAACATCCTAATGACAATATAAAAATTAGTTTTCTAGTACAAAACATCAATATTGATTTTTATAGCTAAACTCAATCATAAAATGTAGAGTTTG